AAAGTTTACATAAAAATTTGCCTTCTGATAATTATCAGTTTTGCATCAAACCAACTGAAATATCATTCATCTTTTGAAAATGGAAAGCTTGCCTTAAAATGGCAAATAAAATGAATGGTAAAGTCATTTTTAAAAAGGTCCTACTATGCTCAGAGAAATTTAATTAAATAATCATTACTGAATAGAACTTGCATAATGAATACTGTGGAGCTCAAAAAACTTTTAAATTTACAAGTGCCACTGCCAAAGTAATAATAACAATAATATATTTTATTATTATTGTAAAATCTCTATAATACATTTTGATGAATAATTGATTATTCCATCTTTGAGCCATTTATACCAAGAAGAAGTTGGGTATTTGTTTCATAAAACTGGAACATATCTTTCAAGCTTCTATTTCCATCAACAACCTGAAATAGATAAATAATGTAGAATGTAAGAGGACATAACAAGTAACATAATAATTTTACTTCCAACAGGGAGAAAATATATTTTTTTTGGTTACCATTGGCTTGGGCAACCAGTCAGTTCACGGTTTGAGCAATCGAAAAAAATAACTGATACAGGAATGGTAAATTTTATTTGGGAATTGCATTTAACATTTGCATCAAACTCATGAATGGTGATGACCAATAGAATGCCATGGCACAAAGAAAGTCAGTTTTACTCCTTGCCCCTTGGGCAAACTGTAGCTAGCACGTTTATTAAAGCCTGACAGTTATTTTAAGTAGCCCAAAAAATTAGGACTATTGATAAATAATATTAATTTAGCATTATTTATTCAGAGTACAATACAACAATAGCTGTAATAATATTTTATTTCACTCTGTCAGTAGCTTTTGATCCAGGAATTTAAATAATTTGTCTTAAGGTACTTCTATAATTGTATTTCCAAAGAACCTCTACTTGCCAGTCAGGCAAGTTAAGAACAGAACTTGCTAGTCTGATCATAAACTCCACCAGCCCCGTGCTATCACACACAACTCTCTTTGCATGTAATCTTCTGTATGTTGTACATGTCAATACATTCCATGCCAGCAACACTTACCACTACTGGAGCAGGAATATGAAATTTGCTCTTTTTTATGAGCCATTCTTCATATCTCTCATGTAAAGAATCGAGTAATTCCTTTAAGAAAAGAAGAAAAAAAAATCATCACAATTTTTTTTTTCACATCAGCTAAAAATAAAACCATGGTTCAAAAAAGGTTAACTAGGATGCAATAATTAATATGTGGAATGTAATAAAATAACTCTTACCATTGATACTGATGTTTCCTCATCTCTAGATCTTCTCTTTATCCTTTCCATACACTTTTCGGGTGATGTTCTTAGGTATACTAAAAATCACCATAACATTAGTTAGACAAGAAATATATTAATGCCAGAGTATGGACATATTTACAAGGTCTCACCCCACAATTTCTTCCAGAGTCTCAAAAGTTAGAAATGTATTGGAAGTCATCATCATCATCATCATCACCATCATCGATGATAACAACAATAAAAGGGCTTCTGATATTTCGCGGAAAAAAAAGCAAAATTTCGCGGCATTTTCAGGGGCAAATTCGCGGAAAAATCGGCCGATTTCGCGGGATTTTCGCGGGAAAAAAGTCAAAACTCGCTCAAAAATCGGCCCATTTCGCGTGATTTTCGCTGGAGAAAAGTCAAAATTCGCAGAAAAATCGGCCGATTTCGCGGGATTTTAGCGGAAAAAGTCAAATTTCGAAGGATTTTCGGGGCAAATTCTTAGAAAAATCGGCCGATTTCACGGGAAATTTTTGGGGGAAACTTCGCCAAGAAATAATCAGTAAAAAACAACCGATTTCGCTGGATGTTTTTGGCAAATTTCGCTAAAATCGATCAATTTTGCGTCGATATGACCAGCATTGTTTCACGTTTTTTTAACAGGGATAATCACTTGCTCTTTCAACAACAGTTCGTTCGAGAAATGAGCAAATGCTAAAGCTGTGAACATTATGGTTAGTGCCCAGTTTTTCGCAACGTTCATCGAAGACGCCTGGTAGTTTTGAGACGTTGTTTACTCGTTGCAGTGACGAAGTTTCAAGATAAATTTGGACGTTTGAGGTGAATAGAACAGGTCTAATAGCCAAGATAAGTATTAAATGTATTTTGCCGACATGCATTTGGAAATATTTCTGGCGGATTTCGCGGTATTTCGTGTTTTTTGGGGAATTTCGCGGGATTTCGCGGAAATACCTGAATTTCGCGGGTCCGCGACCGCGCGAATTATCAGAAGCCCTGAATAATAACAAAATTGACAATAACAATAATAACAATAAGTGGACAAATTTTCTGTGGGAAATGGGTCAGACAAAGCCACTTATAGTAAAATAGAGGCAATAGAATGGTGACTGGAAGTTGATCTTCCTCTATCAGGGCTCTGACTCAGAAAGTTCGTTATCATACTACAGTAATATTGCTAAAACAAAGGCATTCAATCTCACTGTTTCAGACAGAAAAAAAAAATGAAACAAATGGTTGCTATTAATGACGTCTGGGACTTAAGCATTCTTGTTGTTGCTTGAGCTTGGTTTTGAGTTAATTGGTGCCAAACAGTGCTACATGTAAGACAGAAAAGAAGGACACACAAGAGGAAGGCGCTGTTCTCAGTCTCAAAGTAGATTGATTGGAAAGTTTTTGTTAACCTTGTACAAACTGTCTTTTTTGGACGAACATGCATTTATGCATTACTTGCCAGTAGCTATTAATATTATGGTGTAAAAACAGCACAAAACACTTTCTGCAAACCTATTAAGTCTATATGTGGCTTCTCATGGGACATGAGGTAGTCAAACCACTCTTGAAAGACTGTGTACTCCAGTGTTGACAATGTACCACTGTAATGAAAGATTAAAGGAAGAAAATAAATTATAGAGACAAAATGATGGAGGATACTAAAATCAGAATACTTCAATTCATTCTACATGTACCATTATGTTAGCTACATAAAGCAAACTACTAAATCTCCACCTTCTACAGGTTCAGCCTTTTTAAGTGACTGCTAATTGAGTTGTTTAGCTTTTATCACTTAAGCTCTCCCCTGAATGCCTCCAGAACCCCCTTAGTTCCCTTAAGAACACTTGCTACGATTAGCACCGGAGTCATCTCCTCACAACATACTTCTTGAAACACTTTGAGAAGGCTACGAACCTGCTGTAAATAGCGCTTGGTTATGTTATAGTTTTACCTTCTATGAAGATTTTCCATGAAGCAGAAGCTTGCACTGTATGCACTCCTCTCCAGGAGCCTCACAGGTGAAGTCTAAGGTACAAAGAAATTGAAACTGTCAACAATCAATAACACACAAGATGGACATGAGGCAAAATTCTAATAACTGTGTGGCATATACACTGTACGTAGTGCTGACTGCATGTTTGTAAAGCAGGCGTAACTCACTTTCATTAAGGCAGTGCTCAGAGAATAGAATGGGGGGGCGAGGGGGAAAGCTCTAAACCTATGTGCAGGGCTCAAACAATTTCCTGTCTCATAGTGCAAATTTTCTTGCTGTACAAGTGAAATTAACAACATTAGGCCAATGGGCAAAGGTTTAGGCAAGTCATTCTCTTGCAAAATGACAAGCTGGAATTCAATTTTTTATTGGCCTTGCTATAAAATCTAGCTAAGTGTAAGATCATGTCTTATATGTGTTACAGGTCAAAATAAAATTCAAGTTAAATTTTTATTTTTTAACCTTGGATGATTCTCTCTTTCTTTTGTCTCCTAGCCATTCATGAATTGGGGCGAGAAGACAAAGGAAATTCAGAATCAACCTAGGTTAAAAAATTTCAACCTGAATTTCACTTTGACCTGTTAACATATATGCAAGAAAACGAATTTCTTGGTCGTCTAAGAGTGAAAATAAATAACCAGGGACCACCAGGCACTACAAGAGCAAAGCCCAAGTATTAGAAACTCAGCTGAAAAGGAAATCTGAAAAGACAATCAACCCGTGCTTGATCAGTGGCTTTAATGATACCTGAGGCCTGTGATGTACTTCCATCATTGTAAGAAGAACATATGACTCAAACAAGTAACTCCACCTCTTTGGATCACTGTACATAAGATCCTGTTAAAAAACAAAGAATAACAAATAGTGAGGCACATTTTTATGGAATACACTACAACTCAGTCAAAATGTTTTACAGTAGTAGGCAGGATAACCAAAGTAGCAGGTGGCAAAGCCCGTTACTTTAGTGATTTTTATATGATATTATCAAATTAATAGCATACTTTCAGAGTTGGCAGCAAATATCTGACTGTGCCCAGGGGGCATGAGCACATTTCGTTTGTATTTTCCAGCACTTTTCGGGACATTTTTTTTTCCTAAAGCTTTTGAGAATAAAGCTTTAGTGGGAAAAAAGATCCTTGTGCTGTGTTTAGATGTAATAATAATTGCCTTTTCCCGAGAAATAGACAGTGAAAGACCATATTTCTAATACTAAACTAGAAAAAGGCGATCATTAGTACATCCAAACACGGCACAAGGATCTTTTTTCCCATTACAATCTTATTCTAAGAAAACTTTACGAAAAAATGTCCCGAAAAGCGCTCAAAAATACAAACGAAATGTGCTCATGCCCCCTGGGCATCCTATAATACTCCTTAATTCAAATTAATTCAATATGGCCGCCGTATCGGTAAAAAGGTCTATTTTTCCATATAATATTATCTATTTATGAAAACTAATTTTTACCAGAGTATTGGCACCACCAACATTCTGCCATTTCTTCACTGGCTCTTCAATGACCTGGTTAGAAAGTAAATATTCCTTTATCAAAGTAGTCTTGAGATATCCACCAATATTATCACAAATAATGTATAATGATATATAACAGTATTTAAATGCAAAGAACCATGCCCAGTGACCAGTATCACATCTCTGATCCCTAATCCAATTTCGTTCTTTTTTCTTAACATGACAACATTAAACTAACATGATTGCTATTAAATCTGCAATCCAGAAATTGTCCATTAAGCTTGTGACATTGCATGTATAGTATACCTCCACTGACGAAGTTTTCCTTGAAGTACTTCAAAAGACTTGTCTTCCCACTTCCAATATTTCCTTCTATTGCAACCTAGTAAAAGGTAGTAAGAAACAAGAGTGTATTTATATTATTATGAGGAAAAACAAGAAGTGTCTTAAAAACAGACACAATATATCCTAAAAAATATACTTCCATTAAAAATTTAATGGTGAATAAAATGACTTGGTGTCTTCAATAAGATCATAGCTCGCGCCAAGAGACTAAATTAAAAACTGGTTAACTCTGTTCGAAACAGCGCCGAAATCCTTGTTCTGGAATTCGAGCTGTGTACCCAGATTTGAGTCTTGGCCACGATTGGCCTGTTAAAAAGGCCTTTGTTTTGTTTGTCGAGATCGCCAATCAGGTTGAAGGGGAATTCGAAACGCACTTCCGGTAATTCGTTGAGTCCGTTGGGGGTCCAGAACAAGGATCTCTGCGCTGCTTTGCAGACGGTACTAATCAGAGTTTAGTTATCATCTGCGCGCAGGCTATAAGATCAGGACTCAGAAAAAACTTGTCCTATGGGAAAAAACTTGTCCTATGGGCAAGCAGCTCCCACATTTTGCTGGCCCAGGGCCACTTCTTGCTTGTCCCAAGTAATGATTTTGTTCTGACGATGATTTGCCTGGACCCTTGCCCATTAGGTAAGTAAGCTTCTAAAGTTACTTGCCCAGCATGAAAGTGTATAAATTTTGTCCCGGAACACTGGACGGGACTTTTTTCAAGCCCTGAAGATGAACTTAGCTAAGGTGTCTCACTGTAGTGTGTTTCAATTTTATCCTTGGCTTAACTTTTATTTTCCTTTGTTGTAAACTCATTATCTTGTGTTACCATATCCAAAAACAATGGAAAATATTTAAATTTTACATGTATTTTGCGATAAATATTAGCGATAAAAAATCACGACGTTTCGACCTCTCCGAGGTCATTTTCAAGTGTATAAAAGTTCTCTAAATTAGCATAGATAAGTTAAAAGCAAGTTATAATAGATAAAAATGTGGTGAACGCTAAAATGTGATAAAATATGTAAAAATGTAAAAAGTGCTAAAAAATTTTTTTTTTTACATTTTTACATATTTTATCACATTTTAGCGTTCACCACATTTTTATCTGTTATAACTTGCTTTTAACTTATCTATGCTAATTTAGAGAACTTTTATACACTTGAAAATGACCTCGGAGAGGTCGAAACGTCGTGATTTTTTATCGCTAATATTTATCGCAAAATCGATTTCTAAGAAACTACTTATTACATGTATTTGCAAAGAAATATTTGGCATTGCATTTTTTTGTTAATTCATATGCATGCAATGTTTTTACTTACTGTGATATTTCTTTTTCCTGAATGACCATTCTCTCCATGGAAACCATTACAACCATTATTGTTTCCAATCATCTTTTTTGATAGAAAACCTAAAACATAATTTACACAGAAATTTTGAAATTTTACATTTAGATTTAAAAATTTGTCATTAAGCCCAAAAAGTAAACCAGGACTTTGAAGAAATGTAAGACTTCTTTTGCAAAATTACCTTGTATAAGTCCCTGGAGCATCAGTTCAAAATTTTACGCAATTTTAAAAAACAACAACATGAGCAAGGAGTCAAATTCTGCAGTCCTGCAGTACGTTGTTCAAAACGTGCTATCCACCGGATAAATCACATTGACTATTCAGTGAAAAGGTATGGACAGGGATTTATCCGCTGGTCTTTTGTTCTTCAATGAAATCAGGTAAAATGCTCCGATACATCTAAAAAGCGCGAGCCTCTAGAAGAAGGAATTACCAAAAAAACCTTCGGGAATTGCAAAACGCAATGTAAGGCTGAGATCCATGTCCGCGTTCAACGAAGGCTGACGACTATACAAAGTGCGCAAGAAATCTTATTGCTGCTAACGTTATGACTCATCTCACAGTTGCCAAATATAAAGTCAAATCATTCAAAATGAACACAAATATCACTAACCAAACAGAGAGCTTTTTTTCGCCCCGCATTTTCGTGTGTATAATTCACTTGAGCATCAGTTCAGGGACGATAATGCATTCAGCTTTTGAAATACGCGCGCAAAATTTCGACCAAGCGAAGCTTGAGTTCTCATTTTTGCCCGAGCTTGCCCGAATGACATCACATCGCACAGCGATAATGGGAAAAGTAAAATGGATCTCACCAAATAATTAGCCCGTGAACTGAAAGAGCAAAAAGGACAAGAATTATCACTGTTACCTCTCAAACTTGTCTTTGAAGCTCTTGCTAACGGCGCGAATAACGAGCTCATTGCATATTTTACGAGCGTCATTATCCTTCAGCCAGCGGATTCCTGATAGTACATCACACGCTGATCACACCTGTCATTCTGATGTCACGTAAACAAATCACAACAATTGTGTCACGCTACACACAATCCATTGTTTTTGCAAAGATCTTTACATGTAGTTTTCTAAAAATGAAATAAAACAAAATACATCATAAACGTTGATACAGGAACGCAGTGATGGTTAAAAATGATGTCCCATACACACGTACTGTGTCTACAGTCTTGCAGAATATTGAATTATTTTAGAGATAACAAACTGGATTTACTTTACTACACGATGAGCATTATAACTCTCTCCCATTTATTTAAAAGAATATATTTAATGCGAGTTTGACAGATCTACAAAAAATGATCGAATAAAAGGT